AGCACAAATTTTCAAGTTCACCGCTACAAGTTGCACGAAACTAAAACTCCAGCATGTAATAAGCTTAACTAATATGTGCATTAGGGTGGTCCAAAAATGCATGTGAGAAAGTCGGAATATTAATTCTCTCACACCTTAGGATTGTTCTATATCGAAGAAAAACTTTACCCCTGTTTTTTTTTTTTATCTTGAAATAAAAAAATATTTAAAGGTCGCTCAAAGTGCTCAAAGTTTTCCAAATATTTTATAAGGGGAAACAACAACTTTTCGTAGAAATGGTATAGAATTCTTGAAAATCAATATTTTTCGATTGGGAAATTTCGTTTCTCTTCAGGAGACTTCCAGTAACAGTATACAATTGTTTATTTAATTATTTTCTATTATTATTAATTTTTCATAGGACCTCTAAACACCTCAAAAATTGCAATCGAAAAATATAGATTTTTAAGAATTCCATACCATTTCTACGAAGACTTCTTTTTTCCCCGTATAAAATACATGGAAGACTTTGAGCGCTTTGAGTGTCCTCTAAATATTTTTTGAATTCAAAATAAAGATAACAGGGGTAAAGTTTTTTGCGAAATAGAACAATCTTAGGGGGTGAGAGCATTAAAATTCCGATTTTACTTTATTTTTTTTTTTTACCACCCTAATGTACATACTTATACTTGTACGCGTTTGTAAATATGGTTATACATATACATGCATATGTACATGCGTATATGGAAATTACGTAGGTCAATTCGACTACATACATACATACATTGTATAACTCTATGCCTTCTTGCAGTTGCTTGACTGACTGACGACTAGCTAGTCACTTTGGCGGCCATGGGTCATCTTATTCGACGCTCATAATGTGTTTCCGGCTAGATAATTCATCGTTGGCCAGCGGGTCATCCAACTGTTCACTAAACGTTGATTCTTTTTAACCGCGAAATGGTTGGCCTTTGTATTTCTGCGTCATTTTTAGTTGCAATTATTCGCTTAATGTGTGAATATGGTTCCATTTGCGCTAAATTTTTATGATTTGACTTCAATGTACAAGTTGCGAGTTACGTATGTACATATGCATGTACATATGTTGAATAGATATTCATTGTAGCGAACAAACGTTATATACTGATGGCAGTATGAACTGACTTAAATTCAGGTGATGAATTATAGTCTTTGGTAAGGGTGCGTTCATACAAAGAGCCGAGCGACGCACAGTGTGCCTTTTGAACACTCCATGCGAATTAATCGTAGCGCTTTCGACAGAAGCAATATTTAATATGAAACCAAATGGTTCTGAAAGCTAATTTTGTTCCCTTTCACGGAAAAATGTTGCCATCGATGATCTTTTGATTGGTTTTTGAGCTCTAGGCCGAGGGTAAATAAGACATCCAATTGTTTTATTTACCCTCGGCCTAGAGCTCAAAAAACAGTCAAAAGATTTAAATATGTTTCTTGTTTTCTGCTATAGAAAAAATTGTCCAACATACATACATACGTCGACTTAAAACTTCAAAAATTTGCCTAGAAATTCTTATTAAAATGTTGGCAATTTAGATGAAACTGCGCAGAATATTCATAATTTTTGCACAAAGCTTGAAAATTGGGTTTATATGGATAAAAAAATAAAACCTAAATAAAGAGAAGAAAAATAGCCAATACTTGATAAAATGTCGCGTCCCTAGTTTTTGCCACCACTATACATGTTGATATTGAATTATGATCTCAATAACAAAGCCTTTAATTTTTATATCGTGGATTTGTCATATTTTTGTAATATTTATATACTTTAGCATAAAGAAATTGAACCACTTGAACCGAACCGAACCGCGGTTCAGGGATACTGTGAACCGGTTCTTGTACCGGTACAAGCTTTTTCTAAGTGGTTCGAACCACTGAATCGAACCGCACCGATTTGCAGCCCTGCTTAGCATATCATACCGCTTTTGCCAGAAGCATGAATGTACAAATTTACCAATTTCGAGTTATTGGGTTGACTGTATTAAGTTTTGGATGTTCTATGTTATATCAAAACCCAGAATACCGTACAAACACGGAGGCTAAATATTTTACAATTTCAATTATATGAATACCTACATATGACAACACCAAAGCAGACGCCACAAATCAAGGACAATTTATGCAAGGTGTTGTTGTTAGATTAGCTGATTTCTTCGCCTTGCATGTATTTTGTTTTTTGCTTTTATTACTGATTTGACAGTACGCACATCAAAAGCAACAACAAAATATACACACATATGTAAACTTTGGGGCGAATTGAGATTTGACATAACATCCATAATACGAAATTCACGTGGTTGTTGTTTTTGTAATTTTGCTATTTGTTCATTCGCCTTGCCACAAATCGGAGGAGAAGCTCGGCCAAACACTAACATATGTGTAAAAGCGCAGTTACCCACGGAAGTAAAAACGGAGAACGTGTCAGCTGAGGCGATCTATCTTAAGGGATCAGCGTGTTAATAAAATCTCACCACCGCATGACCGTAACGTAGACGTCTCTTCTCTCTCTTTCTATCAACAGCAAACTTGATATCTTTCTACGTGCTTCTACGCTACGCTACGTACACGTCCGTGAATAACCGCGCTCTAAGCGCCAATCTATATAATTACATGAATGTAGAGTTAAGTCTTGTAAGAAACAAATTTCAAACTTGATTTTCCAAAAGTTTAATTTTTTGCACATTGACGCTGCTGGCGTGCGGGGGACGATATACCCTCCGTAAAAACCACCAGCTATTTAACAGTTTACTTGGCAGCTCAGCAACAATATACATATGTTCTACACACATATGTACGTATGTATGTATATTAGCAACAGTGTTTGGATTGCCATTTACCTGTGGGCGCACTATTCGGTGTGTACATCTACTCATACCGGTGGACGGGGTAGGCCGACTATTCATCATCAGTTAAGCACAAGCTTTTATTTGTTAATCTACTTGAATGTTTAATGAGATGTGTTTTTTTTCATTCCAGGCAGTATTTTTTATGCTTGTTTACGTAGGCATATTATTTGAAATATGGCTGAATGCTTGGCGGCCGCCGTGCCTATTACGAGAAGTATCCAAAAATAATAGAATAAAAAGTTTCTAATACTCTCGTTTTCACTAAATTTTGCGTTTTACTAGCTCAAAAAGTTGCATGCTAGCAACTGATATTCGTATATATTCACTTTTGGTGAGCTGATTAAGTTAAGGACATTTTTCCTATTTTTCCTTTGTTTATTTAATGTTTGGGCCATTCCATGTAAAAAAGGAAAAGGCTATAAATTTAAAATGCCCTAGCTATCTACATATATTTCGCTAGAAACCTCTTGCTAAATGACTACATTTCACAATAATATGTTGAAAAATATTAAAAATATAAAAATAATCTGTAATTTTTGTCTATGAAAACTTTTACTTCATACATATTTTCATTACACCAGACACAAATGATAGTTACACAAAACTAAGAAAAAGTTTGGTATATTTTTTTTAAGGGAATTTTAGACATCACTTATCTTTCTTGGTTAAAAAATTTCGTTCACTGTTTATAAGTTCCGACGAAATATGTAGTTATAATTCAAAATTGACAACATTCCCGAGTAAAATGTTCCACCAGTCATAATGGAATGGCCCGCTTATTATTTCCACATTTCAAATTTAGTACAAAGGTTATAAAAATTCACCAAACTTTACTTTAGCCAAAACTAGTTAAAATGCCACTTAACTTAAGGGGTACATATCTATATAAATATTTTCTATGTTACGCATTCAACAGAATGAAAATTGTGACTTGATACTTAATTAAAAAAATTGGTACGATTACGGAAATGAGAACCGGCATTTTCCGTTCAGAGTCTTTTAAAGTTGTGCTCCAACAAAACAAAAAACTTACCCAACAAATTTGAGAAGAAGCTCGGAAATTATCAAATAGATATGTAAGTGCCCAAAATGTATTAATTGTTTTTACTTAATCGCCGCTGGTTTAAAAATACACAATTATTATAGTATAACATCGTATATAATATTCTATGCAGAAAATACTACAATATCTGGGTTTGTATTGGAATTATAAGACCTTGTTATTCTTACAGTCAGTCAATAAAGCTTAGGTACAGCGAATTTTTTACAATACGGGCAACTATTTTTTAAATATTTTATTTTTTGCTAATTTTTTATAAAAATATGGTTAATTCTACAACAAAAACCCCAAAAAGAAAAGTTCCAAACCTTGTGCAAAATTAAAGAAAATTCTGCAAAATTTCATTCAAATATTGCACTTTTTATTTACGCTCTACGTAAAAAATTAGCAAACATTATTTTATATGGAGAAAATGAGCGACACCTTCAACAAAAAAAATTCCTAAAAATCAATGGTAAGTCCTAGCCACCACAAACTTGCACTTTGTTATACTAAAATTGAATCGGCTAAAAAACTGCATACCCAACTTCTTTCTAGAGAGCGTAAATAAAAAGTGCAATGTTTGCATGCAATTTTGCGGAATTTTCTTTAATTTTGCACAAGGTTTGGAACCCCGATTTTTGGGTTTTTTGTTGTTGAATTGACCATATTTTTATAAAAATAGTTGCCCGTATTGTAAAAAATTCGCTGTACCTAAACTTTATTGACTGACTGTATGTAGCTCACTTGGTGTTACATATCGCCCATTTACTTCGAAAATACATATCGTCATCTGAAATGCAAAAAGACGTAACTAATAAAGAATTCAAAATTCACTTTTTGATTGATAGATGGATTTCATCGAATTACAACTGCCCACATCGTTTTATGAAAAAAATTATTGGTCACGACTTTTTCCATTTCGGTGACGATGTTTGTTACGTCTTTCTGTATATCAGGTGCCGATATGCATCCTTCTGAAAGACTAAATTGTTACTCATACGCCAGTGAGTACCTAATAAGGACATTACAAATATTTGACAAAAGAAAATTAATTTTTTTTTCTTTTCGTTTTGTACTTTTAAGAACGTCGCACTCACCATTTTTACAGAAATAATATTTGCAAACGGATTCTAAAATATACATATATCACTGAATTTATCGATTAATTTTCTTATCCTAATCATCAATTTTTGATGTTTTGTTTTTATTTTCACCACTCGCTATTCTTTACAAGTTTATTGTTCTTGAAGCTGATACCGTAATCCACTTAACGTCTCGTATAAGAACTCGTGTGTAAGTGTATTCGACCGCTGGCGCAGCGTAAATGAAATACAAGTTCACTGTCGCTTCAGTTTTGTTTGTTTGCTCTTCAGTTTTCGTGAGGTGAACTGGATTTTAAGATAGTAAGTAAATTCCTTCTCTGCGACTCCGTTGGTCGAAAAACAGCATTTTACTTACATGCGCATCACAATTGGAGGAATTGCTTTCGCTTTCTGTAAACGGTGTAGAACGCTGCAATGCCCTGCTGTGGGAATTTACGGAAATTTTTTTCAGTTTTAGGCAACAAATTAGCTGAAGAATTCTTTTAGGGTGTGGTGAATTCGAGCAGGGCTCACTTTTAAATACATACATACATACGATTGCATTTAAAATGGATCGCTTGGATGACGACAATTTGCAAAATATATATACATACATACATATGTGATGTACATTAAAGTGGTCGAAAAATGTATGTGAAACAACAAGGTCGGATTTTTAATGTCGCCACCCCCTAGGATTGTTCTATACCGGAACAAAATACTCCTAGTTTTTATTTTGAAATAAAAAAATTTAGGGAGTGCTCAAAGCGCACAAAGTTTTCCATGTAATTTATGTGGGAAAAAACTACTTTTGGTAGAAATTGTGTAGAATTCTTGAAAATCCATATTTTTCGGTCAAAAAACTTTACTTATCTTCAAGAGACTCCCAGTAATAATACCCAATCGTTCCTTTAATCATTTGTTCATGGTAACTATATATTATAGGGCCTCCAAAACCCGCAGAAAACGCAATGGGGGACCAATAAAAAATCTTTAATATTAAAAAATCAACAAAAACATAAACAACTTGATGTTAATATTGGAAGTTTTCCGACCGAGAAATATTGATTTTCAAGAATTTTATACCATTTCTACGAAAAGTCGTTTTTTCCCCATATAAAATACATGGAAAACTTTGAGCGCTGTGAGCACTCCCTAAATATTTTTGAATTCAAAATAAAAAATAGGGGTATATTTTTCCCGTCCAGAACAATCCTAGGGGGTGGCGGCATTAAAATTCCGACTTTATTTATTTTTGACCACTCTAATATAGTAAATTGCACACACAAAAATTAATATATTTGCGAAACCATGGGCCAATATTTGTTTTTCAAAAAATTGTACATTAAGGAGCTATAATAAGCTATGTATATAAAATCCTCGAATTTCGTCCTTTTAACTTTATCAGTATACAAAATTTCCTATTCGTCCTTTTGAATCCAAAATATTTTAATTTTTTAAAACTCTAAAGAAATGTCCTTTTTCATTTGGTACCCATACTTTTATTCTCTATTGCACTGAATTTTTTAAATAATTTTTGGAATCAATCATAACTTTGAAATTACAAAGTCCTAGTCTATACGCACTGAAGTGTTTTAAAAAATGTTTAACTCAGTTTTTGGACAATTGGGGCATTCACAATGATGACGCAAACTTTAAACGGTTAAAAACATATTTTGCTACCATAAATTCATAAATACGAATTTTCGAACTGCCATAAAATAGTTGGTTGTGGTAAAACCTAAAAGGTCCTTTAAATGTTTATTTAAAGCTTATGACATACAACAATAGGACCCCCTTGTGGATACCCTAAATAAATATGCCATTGTTCGATTGTTTTAAAGCGATAGAACCGATACTCGATAAATAAATGCTATCAAATTTTAATAAAATTCGACGTGACCGAAATCAAAAATAATTAAAGTACTAATGGGGATTCATCGATTTAGTTCAGAATTTTCTTCCATCTAGTTGTTGTTGTGTTTCTTTCTGGGAAAAAAAACTCAACGACACCCATATGGAAGAAAAGTTCAGAACTGTAACAATGAATTCGCCTTAAGAATACCAAACGCTTTTATTATTCGGTCAAAAAACATTAAATCGATACATACTGTTCGAATTTAAGAAAAAAAAGTTAGAAAAAAGCAGCGTTTGACTTTAACGTAAAAAAAGCATGATAAAAACATAATAAGATCAAACCAAGGCATAACCAAGGTGTATTAAACAAGGTGTGATTGACAATTCAGTGCGGCTCTCTTTTAAGGTACTATAATGTCAAAAAGTATAAACAAACGAATTAACCCTTAGTGATGTATGTATCTTGTCAGCACTGATGCCCTAGGCTTTTAGTTCGATTATAGTTTTGTTTTACTTACATTATCTGAAATATATATATTTTGTCAATAAAATAAAACAAATTGTTTATAAAATCGTTTTAGCAATTTTCTTGTTTTTAATTGCCCAAGTTTTATGTTTTTGTGCGTTTATTTTTATATTTAAATTTTTATCCCAAACATTATTCGACACTTATAAAAGTATGATTTTACATTTCTTTCCAATTTTATATGAGAGCTTAGCTCTAACAATTTTGAAATTAAATTTTTTTCATGCGAAATAGTTTGGGTATAAACGAGCTCGTTTGAAAGTGCTTAACTCGGACGGACAACAAATGAATCACTTTTCTTGAAGTGGTTTTCACAAACGCGAGATGAATCACGTGGTACAACACCACAGCTTTCTTCCAATTGCTGCCGTCTTAATTCCCCACTAGGTGCACCGTTCAAACGTTTTGCTCCGTTTCATCTTGGTTTCCTTACATTAAATATTTAAGCAAAGTCGAACATATTTACTTATTATCAAACCTAAATGTACTTACTTGCTCTCCTCGGCGGTTTATCTCTTAACAAGAAAATTTGTTGCTTGACAAATTTGTGTGTATTTTTTTTTTTCAATTCAAATTTGAAAAAAACACATTTTCAAATGGGTTAACAATTCATTTCAATTTGACATTATAGCCTGCTTCGTATGAGAGCAATGTCAAAATCAATCACACTTTGTTGAATACATTTTGGTACAAACACAGGAATGCATAACTTATATTTAAATAGTCAACAACGGCCATTAAATACAGGATCTGAAAATGACTTTTAGCAGTTCATCCACAATCTCAACTAAAATTGCTAATTTGGCCCTAGTGGTTGGAGGTGCATACTCACTCGGCAGAACCTGGTTTCGATCCGTGGTCCGAGCAACATCTTAATTAGATTTTTTTTAAGCGGCCGCACCTGGGCAGGCAATGGCAAAGCCCCGAGTGTATTTCTACCATGAATTTGGGAAAAAGGCGACAAAGACAAATATCTCGAGAACGAGAAAATATAGCGAAATAAATGTAGCAATGTTCTTTGATTTCGAGATGGAAAATCCAGGAAAAATAGTCTCATTGGATAGCAGAATTGACATGGCTTTCGAAATTACTATCAAAAATAGAAGATTTTAAGGTTTTTCAAAATAGAAAATAAAAACGCATTTAATTTTTTTTTAAGTGCATTGTATGCTGATTTAGGAAAAAAAGACAAAATTGCAAGATTTTTACGTTTAAAGTTCGGTTTAGAATTACCTCCAAAGTAAAGTGCGTATGCCGATACGTCGTTTCCAAAAAGAAATTTTGAACGTTTTTTACAAAAAGTTTTTGCATACTCACGTTGTTTTCAGGATTGGAACCATTTTTGATTGATAATTCTTTCATAACGACATAACTTTTAATACATCCGATGCAAGAAAGCTTACGGTTTTACAAAGTGTTTCGCTTTTGGTTTTGGTTTCGTTCTTTAATTTAGTTTCGATTATGAAATAAAAATATGAAAACAAGCTAGACAAAAAAGATTGTTTGTTAAATAAATGAGTACCTTCCAGGGTTTGCAAATTTGTGGTTATTGTTAATTCATACAAATAAAACTCATCTGAATCACTCACCCTCACATTTTGCAAATTGCCTATCAGCTTGAAAACAATTTCCCATTCAAGACGATATTCAATTTTTCGTCTAATTGATCATAGCTTTTGGAAGTGAGCTTTTGTTTGGAGCAAATTGAAAGCAATTTTTTAATGCATAAACGTAAAGGCTGCATTTCTTTATTCATTCTGAACGTTTGGAATAAACTTTTTTGTTTACTTATTCTTTAGAATGTTCCTGATGATATGTTAACGTATATTTCAAAGGCATTCTGTTTATTCCGGACGAGAAATGGGATTATCCGGAATGTATAAAGAAACGCAGCCAAAGTATTGCTTGATTTTTTTTACGTTACACGATGAAGAACTTGCTTTCAAGTTGCAATATACTCACGCCCTTTTAATGACACACACTCGCTCTTTTACAACTTGACCATCGACTTGATATCAATTTATCATTTCAAGTCGTATGGCAACTTGATAGTCAAGTCAAAGTGAGGCGAGTATTTTAAGTTGTTTCCTTGGCGACGGCATATTGAAACGAAAATTGACTATCAAGTCACAGCTGTCAATACAAATGAATTTCAATAAGCACAATGTGTAATCGACTTGAGAGCAGATTCTTGAACGTGTAACCGAACAGTTTTGCTACTGAAGAAAAACAAGTTTGTGGTGATCAAATCTTGCAGCTGATTGTTTTTATAGTTTTCTCGAAACCGATTGGAACCGGTTCCTGTACTTTAAACGGCTTCGGTTTCGTTCTTTTTCAGGCTAAAATAACGGTTTCGGTTTCGGTTACGGTTTCATATTCCTTGGACACTTACTCGAGGGAAGACTTATCTACAGGGTTCGTTTTTGCACACACATGCGCAGCACATCCTAACATTTTACGCTCACACACGTGTGCTGTGCATATAAAAAATTAAAAACTTGCTCACATCACATGTGTGTGCTGTTTGGTAAAAAGCACGGGCACATGTGTGTACTTTATTTTTATTAATATAAAGCACACGCACATGTGTGTGCTTTGCGTAGAGAAACTTATACACTTCGATTTCTATCTCAAATCTTAAAATAATTTTTTAATATGTTTTCTGTCATATAAAAAACAAACAACATCTCACTTTTTATTGAATTGTCTTTCAAAAAATAACGTTTAATAAACAAATTCTTTTAAAAATATATTATGTGCATGTGCATGGGCTGAAATTTGTACAAAAATCGGCTCACACACATGTGCATGCGCTTAATAACAAACAGCACACACTTTTCTGTGAGCAGAGTTTGTTTTCCACTT